AGGAATGCCTGGGATGGCAGCAGACTAGAAAAACACAAGAGGTACTAGGATCAGAGCTGTTGGTCACCCTTTGAAGGGACTTTTAAACCAACTCCTTATTTTGAAAATAGGTAATTATTGGGGAGAATTAAACCTTTCCTGTGGGAATTTATTTCAGTGAAACTAAACAGCCCTAGTTGATGAGAGAATACTCTTTCTACAGAAGAACTGAGGTATTTTCATAAGGCCCAAATAAACCCCATAGATGACTTTTGGGTCCTAGGGGAAAACTGGTAACTGAACAATGGAAGAAGCCAGCAGTCATCCCTGGATCAGGGAGTCACTTCAGCATCATTAATGGCAATAAATGGGATATTATACATTGCCTGGTGTGACTCACAGCACTGCCTGTAATGTGTTCTACCTAGCCCCAAGTGTCGAACTCGAATCTATCAAGCCTGTGGATCTAACTTCTAGTTTTCAGGAAATACAGGAGATAGTGTAACCTCCTGTAAGATACCATGAAGAAACAGCCAGAAAAAGCCAGAAGTTGGGACATTCTGCAGGACTACTGGCTTGATCTCTCCAACAAGTCATAAAACAGAGACGGTGCTAAAATAAAAGGGACACGCACAGGCGCCAGGTTAATCTAGCACAGAGACTGGACTGGATCTCGGTCTGGACAGGCTGTAAAAGATATTTCTGGAACGTGTAGGGCAAGTTGAATATGGACTGGGTATTTGAAGAGGCAAAAATGCATATATGTAGAAAGACAGAGATTGTTAACTTAAAATGCAGGTTATAAAATAGTGTACAGTATTATGTCATTAAAAAATATCTATATATCTGAAAAAATATACATTAAGGTATCAGTGGTCATCTCTAGGTGGTAGAAACATGGACTTTTTATTTTCTTATTTTGGCTTCTCTGTTTTTTCCCCATAATTATCTACAACGCTCAGACCCCTCTGTTATAATAATGAAAGACTTATAAAAATCAATTCCAGTAATTTTTTTTTTAAAGCTCAAACTCTAGAGTCTGACAGACCTGGTTCAAACCTTGTTCTGCCACTTCCTTGCATAGTAGTACTCTAGGGTCTAAATTAATTTCCCCTTTGTGAGCCTCAGTTTCCCCATCTGTAAAATGAGGATAAAAACCCCTACTGTGCAGGTTTATCATAAAGATCAAGAGCGAGAATGGTGAAGCATCTAGTTTGTAAGGTTTCAATAACCGATTGCTTGCAATATTCCAGAGGGGTCATCTTGGAAGGGCCCCAGGGGAGATGCTATGTGAAGACAGACTTTCCTGCTTAGAAACCTTTGTTGTCTCTCTGGCACTGGAGCTCCTTCTTGCCTGCCACCTCCCAGAGCTCATCGGGCCCTATCTGTAGGGTTCATTTCAGAGTGAGGCAGACCTGTAGTTCTATGCACCCGGCGTGGGCACATCCGCCCGCTGTTGCGTCTGTGAGCTTTCACCCAACGCTGCCGTGACTAAAGGGCCTCCCCTCGCACCGGTCCCTGCCGCCCACTCTGCATTTGCACCAGGCCCCAAACTGTCTTAGGTTCCCCGGTGCTCCAGATTCTCTCTTCGGGGTCTTTGCACAGGCTGATCCTTTTCCTTGAATGTTCTTCCCCCAACACACTCTTCCACCTGGTAACCCCTACTCTCCCATTCCTGGGGTTGGATTAGGTGTTCCCTCCTCCGGGAAGCCTTCCCTGAGTGCCCAGGCTGGCTGCTACCCTTCTTCAGTGCTCCCCAAGGCACCCTGGCATCGGGGCACGTGCTGACCCGGTACCCTGCTCAGTGCAGGCAACAGTGGCCCTGCAGCCACACTTGTGGCAGGGCTGCGGGTGAGCGCTCACGCCCCTCCAGGCTGAGCCACAGTGTGGGAGCCAACGCCCAGCCTGCTGGACCCACTGCACTCTGAGTCCGGCCTCGTCTCTTCACAAGCTGACGGGCTCACTCATCCGGCGTGGCCCCTGCCTTACCACGCGGTGCAGACTTCCAATAGCTCGCTGTGGCTCTGTCTGCGCCGCTCTGCCTGGCCCCTGTGCCCTTGGAGGCAGCCTTCGGTCCTGAGGCCGAGCCCCAGCACAGCCCTGCGTCTACACGACTGAGCTCCCTGTGGCTGGGTCCGCCCTGACCGTTCTCGTCCTCTCTGAGCTCCTTCTAGAGAATGTCCTGGAGTAAATCCCGGATCTTCTATCTTTCTGAAGGCTCTTCAGCCAGGGCCACGGCAGCAATTTGACCTGGGCCAAGTCCTACTGCGTCAGAGGAGGGGGTCCAGGGATGCCCGGCTTCTCCCCAGTACCCAGGGTGGTCACTAACTGCTGGTATCCCCGCAATGCTGCTGGACTGGCCCACCCCTGCAAGCACCCGCCTCCTGACACGTCCCAGGGCGAAGGCACTGACTCACAAGGGAAGTTGGTGTGGAGGAGGTGCTGCTGGGCTCCAGGTCAAACACGGTCTCCATCTCCTCCTCGGGCTGCAGCGGCGGAAGAGACAAGGAGGGTCACGGGGTGCCCCCGCCCTCCCCATGTCCAGAGAAGCCTGGACCTTAAACTCAGGCTTAAGGGGCCTACTGCTCCCCTTAAACTCAACTCATCTTCTATTTTTCCAGACCCGCAGTCCAGCTGGCAGGGCTGAAGCCCAGGGGGACAGAGAGTGGACTGGGAAGCTGGGGAGACCCTTCTGAAATATTCCATTCGCAAGGACCACGGTGGGAGAGAGTAAGCAGAGTGGAGGCTGCGGTTCAAAGATGAGACTGCTTTGACTCTAGGAGAAGCCTTGACTTCCATAATACCTTTTCTCCTGCCAGAATTTCCCCTCTATCTCTGTAATGAGATGAGGGGTTAGGTCCCCTGTCACCTTCTGTCTCTAGAATGGACCCTTGAGCAACCAGATCCCAGCACATCGTTGTGTTGGGAAGACAGAGCCAGAGGCGTCGTTCGCTCTGGTCCTTCACTAGCGTGGACTCGGGCCAGGGGATGGAGGAGGGTCCAGGTAGAAAGGGCAGCAGGCACCTGTGCCCAGGGCCACAGATACGGAACCACTGGAAGCAAGAAGATTCTCTTCTCAGAGGCTCCCTCCTCTGACTGAGCAGGATGCTAGCACTTTAAATCAACTTTCTTTCTTATTTAAATTCATTTGAAAAGGGAATAATTCACCCCTATGAACACAAATCCTGTGTCAGTTGCCGTAAGCAAGGTTAAGTAGAAAAATAAATGTGTAACCATGAAAAATATAAAATGTTTTAGTCCACTGGAAATCATTCCCATACACCTTTACGGTCACCCCACTTTAGGAAGTGCTGATCTGGAGCACACAGTCCTGTTGGCATGGATTAGATCCCTGCTCTAATAATTGGCTCGGCCCCACTGGCAAAAAGCCGGAAGAGTCACGGGGCCCAGAGAGCCAGGCCTCCCTTCCAGACAAGTTCAATCCTGAGATTCTTAAAAGTGAGATGACTGACCCCTTTCCCCAGCTTATCCTCCTTTACCACCCCCTCTTTTACTCCTTCACTCCGTCCTCTCTCTCAAGCCTCCGTGCCTTGGAATGGCCCTCACGGCTCAGTGGCTGCACAGGCTCGCATCGTAGGAGGGATGGGCCAGCAGCCTGTGGCTCGGAGGAGATGAAAGAGGGGAGAAGAGGAGAGGACAGTGTCTTCTGGACACCGGGAGGCCGGGAGGCGTGATTCCGGGGCCAGTGCAAGGACACATGCAGCACGTACGCCCGGCGCCGAGTCTGCACATCCCGTCATCAGAGAGGAAGGCAAGAGCCTCTCGGCATCGTGGTGCTTCGGGTGGGCGTCCAGGAGCTGTGTGCCCTGGGACAGGGAGAACCTGTGGAGGAAAGCCAGGCTGGCGACTCACCTCGTAGTCAGACGCTTTCCGAAGCTTCCCCAGAAAAGTGCCAACGCAGGCCAGTATCATGGAAACAACAAGGGTGGAGAGAGAAAAGAAGGTGATGGCGTGTAGCGGCCCTGCAAGGAGAAGGAAAGGCATGGGCGTGGTGCTCGAGGACCAGAGCTGTGGGCAGGGGTGCCGGCTGAGATGCCACCCGGGCTGACAGATGCCTGGGGCCCAGCTCAGCACCCCTGTAGGAGTTTGGAGCCTGGGGCAGAGATGTCCCTGCCCAGTCTCCCCTTAACAACTTGATCAATGAGCCCGACACAGGGACATCAACCCTCTGTGCTATTTGGCCAGCTGAGGATTTGGCATCCGGTGGATTCCATGAAAAATAATTAATTGCCTTAAATATCCATTTAGGTGCCCATTAAATGTCCTCCTTGATGTCAGTTACCTTCCACCTCACGGTCCCTGGGAAGTAACTCTGAGTCACTCATTTATGCCACTGCCCCAAAACACAGTCAGTCTCAGACCAACACCTTTTCTTGTAAGCCCTTTTAAAAAAAAAAATTTTTTTAATTTTATACTGGAGTATAGTTGATTAACAATGTTGTGTTAGTTTCAGGCGTACAGCAAAGTGACTCAGTTATACATATACACACGTATCTATTCTTGTTTCAAGTTCTTTTCCCATTTAGGTTATTACAGAGTGTTGAGCAGAGTTCCCTGTGCTGTCCAGTAGGCCCTTGTTGGTTATCTGTTTTAAATACAGCAGTGCGTACATGTCAATCCCAAGCTCATCCACCCCTCCCCCGCTTCCGCCCTGGTAACCGTTAAGTGCCTTCTCTAAGTCTGTGAGTCTGTTTCTGTTTTGTAGATAAGTTCATTTGTTATCTTTTTTTGTTTTTAGATTCCACATATAAGCGATATCATATGGTATCTGTCTTTCTCTGTCTGGCCCTTGTAAGCCCTTTTGAAGTGAGTGTGCTCAGTTACATGTGCTAATGGCATGGAAAAGCAATTCAGAATTTTTGTTTGGGGATGTTTGGTAACGTTTTTATGGCAGCAGCTTTCTCACTACATGAATATTGAAAATCGGTCTTTACAGTCAGAAGTTATTACATAATGATGTTTATTGTTGTGTTTTTATAAAAGCAAAAAATGATAAACAACTTCAATATCCCAACAATGGAGAACTGACTAAAAGTCACAGAATTTAACGCAGACGTTAAAAGGCACGTACTCAACAGTATTTTGATAACGCAAGAAATTGCTCAGAACATAACGTTCAGTGAAGAAACTCAGGATACAAGTCTGAATAGTATAAAATGGATATCACAATTTTGTAAAGTAAGAGTAAACCAATAAACTCCCTCCACTTTGCCCTGTCCCCCAAAACATATGCACAGAGTGAGGTGTGGGAGCGATAGACCTGAGGCTGTACGGGAGCTGGTAGGTCATTCAAATTTTGATCTTTCAAAATTTTCAATTTTCTCTATTTTTGATAATAAACATGTAGTTCTTTATACTTAGAAAAAAAGCATTATTAAAAAAATGAAGTCTGCTGGGGCAGGAAAGGCTTCGGGGGCGACAACAAATGGACAATGCGTATAAATAACTGTGAGCTGAACGTTGCCTGACACCCCTGTGACCGGCAGTGAAAAAACATGGACTCTCCCTTCTCCACACCACTGAGAAGGTTAAGGTCAAGTGTCTTGAGGGAAGGCAAGTGTGGGGGGGCGGGGAGAAGGAGGGCGGGGAGGTCAGCATGAGCCTTTTCTGAGACTGGGAAGGGGCTGGCAGAGACTGCTGCCTGGGGCACAGGTGGCTCTGAGGGGAGAGAGCCGGGGGGTTCCAGTCTATGGCCTGTGGGGACTCTCTCTGTGAGGGTGTCTCTGAGCTCAGCTGGGTGGGGACAGCAGCTTTGTGTAGCCAAGCTGGCTGCTGGAGCAGGCTCTGAATCCTCCTCCAGGTTTTTGACAACACGTAAGACCAGGCATCTTCTAGGATCCCAGAGGGAATGTCTTGTGAATGGAGCCTGATAGCTAATATTTTATTTCCTGCCAGCCTTGAGTTAGAATGAAGGAATAGGATGTTTCTTAAATTTTTTGTTTGTTTTGCTTTGGTTTTGCCCTGAAAGTTGTAAACCAAAATGTATATAATTTGGACCACGCTGGTCCTCCGCTTAGCTTCCAAGGTCTGCCGGGACTCTAACAGGAGCCCTCTAGGCCTAGAGAAGGCACTGGGCTTTGCCCTGTTCCACGAGTAACACTTTGCTCTTCCCAGGCTTTTTCCGCTCCTACAGAGTTGTCGTTGAGGGGTGACGGAGCAATGGGGAACAGGCAGAGGCGGGATGGTGGGGCGGGCTTGGTACCTACCTAATCGCAGGATGGAGAAGAAAAGCATCCAGAACAGACCCAGGAGCGGTGCAAAGACGGCCTGGTGGACGGCAGCCATGTGGATCTGCTCATTGAGTTTGGTGGGTGCATAGGAGTAGTACATGTTATAGCGGTCCGTGACGTGCTTCATGCACAGGTAGAGTAGCCCTGGGGGCCGGGAGATGGATGCACACTCAGCGGCCATCCCAAGGCTCACCCCTCAGGCCTGAGATGCTAGATTCAGGTCTGTCAGAGTGGCAAGGGCCAAGAACAGGCTGTGGGAGCTCCATGGTGCTGACCTCTGGGACCAGCAGCTTCCCTTGAGCCCCTAGAACCTATTCTGTCAACAAACATCCTATGTAAACACCCACCCAACCCCTGACTGGCTTGGCTCTGACCTGGCCCCTCTCCACCCTTCTGACAGGCTGTCGTAGGTCTCCTCCTGATCTAGGAGGGAGCTGGATGCTGTGGGGCTCCCAGTCCGAGGGTGTGTAGTCCCCAGGGACCTTCAGGGATGACTCACCAAAAGGAACAATGATGGGGCAGGTGATGCTGTACGCCATCACCACGCTGAAGACGTTCAACATCCACGCGTACTCGCGCCCATACTGGAAGTCCATGGCCTGGTTCTGGGGCAGAAGGCAGGGGTCCTCCTGAGGTGGCCTGGTCCACTTGGCTTGGCTGCTTCTGTGCTCCTTGTCTGGGATGGCAACCTCCCTTCCAACCCAGGTGTCCGAGAAGCACCTCGCCCCACCTCACCACGCCTCCCACCTCCGGTCCCTCCGTGCTTCTAACGGGCCCCCTTCCTGACACCTGCCCAAGGGAAACTCTGAGGGCTGTGCTCAGGGAAGGGCCTGGCCCTCACCATTCTGATGTGGACTCTCTCTGGCTCCGACCTGGAGAAGAAGAGGCGGGTGGTGTACAGAAAGAGTGACCCCAGGCGCAACAGCTCCATGCCTGTGCCAATCAGAGCTGACGTAATCACGTAGTTGACAAAGAAGGCACCATTGTCTGGCAGGAACACACACCTGTGTGGAAGACAGCCACAGAAGCCGGGGAAGAGGGAAAGGGCAGAGGTATTGGGAGGAAGGAGGAGAGAGAGGAAACGAATTGAGGAAGTAGGGATGGGGTGGAGGTACAGATGGGGAGAATAGCTTTCAAATACAGTCATCCCTCGGTATCCGTGAGGGACTGGTTCTAGGAGCCCCTGTGGATACCAAATCCAGGGATGCTCAAGTCCCTTATATGAACTGGCATAATATTTGCATATAACCTAGGCACATCCTCCTGTATACTCTAAATCATCTCTAGCTCATCTATAACGCCTAACACAATGTAAACAGCTGTAAATACAACGTACATGCTGTGCAAGTAGCTGCCTGCACACAGCAAATTCAAGTTTTGCTTTTGGGAACTTTCTGGAATTCTTTTCCTGAATACTTTTGATCTGCAGTAGGCCAAATCTGAAGACGTGGAACCCATGGATATGGAGGGCTGACTGCATACATGTGTTCTCAGACCAGTTTAACAAGGGCCCTTCTGAGCAGGGCTGGGGGTGGTCTATGGCATTTGTGGATGGGTTAGGAGATACATGCACTGGCTTGCTCTAAAGAAGGGCTGTTTGATGAATGGATAAAGAAGATGTGGTACATGTATACAAAGGAACATTACTCAGCCATGAAAAGGAAAGAAATTGGGTCATTTGTAGAGACGTGGATGGACCTAGAGACTGTCATACAGAGTGAAGTAAGTCAGAAAGAGAAAAACAAATATAGTATATTAACACACATATGTGGAATCTAGAAAAATGGTACAGGTGAACCGGTTTGCAAGGCAGAAATAGAGACACAGATGTAGAGAACAAACGTATAGACACCAAGGGGGGAAAGCGGCGGGGGGCAGGGGTGGTGGTGGGATGAATTGGGAGATTGGGATTGACATATATACACTAATATGTATAAAATAGATAACTAATAAGAACCTGCTGTATAAAAAATAAATTAAAATAAAATTCAAAAAAAGAAATAAAGAAGGACTGTTTGACTCGGATCCACAGACCCTGGAGAGTCCATGAGTAGAATTTTGCGGGTCTGTGACCTTGAATAGGGAAAAGACTACGTCTTTACTTTCTCCGATTTAGCAGCTCCTTCCATTAAGAGCGTGTTCAACAAATCACAGCAATGTCAGCCATAGCCATAACTCTGTCACCAGTTGAAATGAGGTATTTTCATATCGTGTTGTACTTATTGCTGAGCTCTTACGATACCATTTGTGCTCATCATCATTTCAAAATGATGCTAGTTATTAGTCAGGCCGCTAAATTAGACATGCTAAATTCACGATTGAGATTTTTCTGTCTGCACATGCGTGTTTGACATAGCTAGCTGGCCGACTTCAACTAGTCATCATTCAGCCACCTGAATGGATGGTCACACTGCCTGTTCTCACGTTGGTGACCCAGGCATCTCTGTTGCTTTCCAGTGTCTCCATCTACACAACTCTGTCACCTTCCTTGAAAAGAGAAATCTGTAAGCCCCTGGACATATTTCATAACTCCTTCAAAAACTATTCTTTCTTGAGGGCATCAGAGTTGAGTCATGAACTCACAATCCTTTTCTTTCTTATATACAAACTGTATTGAAGATAATGACCTAGCCAAAGATGAACTCACTCATCTTAGTAAAAAATCAACTTATTACAGTTATAGTTTAATTGTAGAAAGCTTGGAGAATTCTGGTCCTATGAAAGCTTGCATGTCATTTGCAATAATATACCTTTGAAAATTGGGACTTTCAACATTTGGAACCCTAAAACCAAAACAAAACAAAAAATAAATTGGCTGGATATCTAACAACATGCATGCTGCCTTGTCAAAAATCCACTCCCCTGCCCACTTTAATATTCTTCTTTAGCTAAGTAACATCAGCTTTCACACCGATGCCTTTAAAACAATAAAATGTAACTTTTGCTTGCCTACCTTTAGAATGCATCGGCCTATTATTAAATGTGTTAATAGAGATTGCATTACAAATTTGAATTTTAAAATATTTTGATAACTATGTTTCAGCATAATTGGTTTTTGTTATAACCCAGGTATTTTGTACATTTAAAGACATCTACTCAGAGTACATGTAAAACTGGCAAAATTTGAACAAACTCTGTGGATTGTTTCAACATCAATCTCCTGGTTGTGATATTGCACTATAGTTATGCAAGATGTTACCATTGGGGGAAACTGGATAAAGGGTACATAGGGGGCTTCCCTGGTGGCGCAGTGGTTGAGAGTCCGCCTGCCGATGCAGGGGGCGCAGGTTCGTGCCCCGGTCCGGGAAGATCCCACGTGCCGCGGAGCGGCTGGGCCCGTGAGCCATGGCCGCTGAGCCTGCGCGTCCGGAGCCTGTGCTCCGCAACGGGAGAGGCCACAGCAGTAAGAGGCCGCAAAAAAAGAAAAAAAAAAAGGTACATAGGACATTTTGGGGGGCAATTTCCTTTGAATCTACAATTAGTTTAAAAACTTCATTCAGAGAAAGATTCCCTGGGCTTTACCCCCAAAGGGGTCCATGGCACAGGAAATGTTAAGAGGCTGCCTAATGAGAGTGTTAACATGCATTCATCTCTACCTGTATGAGCAAATAAAGGATACACATATCCACCTGGTGTGCAAATAAAGGATACACATATCCACCTGGTGTGAAGCCCCAATGCACATTGGGAGTACACCTGAAACATGCACCCTAGTACTCACTGGAACCTGATGGATGCCTGTTCCAGATAGTAGATGTCAAAGAGCCAGCGGAAAAAGACGTCCAAACTAGAATAAAGAATAAAGCACAAGAAAAAGAACAAGAATAAAGCACACCCTTCAGTTAATGAATCTATGACCTAAGGCCTGGGGTTCAGTTCCTCTTGGGCTGGCCTCCTTCCTTTCAACCTCCCTTGCCCAATCCCCAAAGACTCTTGCATCTTAATATTCTAGCTGACCAATCCATACTGCCTCTCTTCTTAATGCTGGGCCCTAACCCTTTGGCCTTTCAGCTCAAGGCCTCCCCTCCAGCAAACCTTCGCCAGCCATTGCTCCCACAGTGTTTTCTCCCTCTTCTGAATTTCTACTGCACATTCTTCCCACCTTGGGCTGTCAGTTAGCTGATAGGTAAGGCTTGTTTCCCCCGCTGGAGGATAAGCTCTTTGAGGTCAGAGTTCATGGCTGACAGCCTAGAGTTCACAGGATACCTGACTCATGCTAAGCTCATGACAGGCACTGGACTGTCATTTGAGGAATGGATTTGCAGCAACCAGAGGTGGGCCTACAGTGTCTGAAAGAGGGGGTTCCAACTCTAGGGTGAGACTGGCTGATAGAGGAGAGAGAATTGGAGGTGAGGTACCTGGTCAGTCCCATAGAGGGCAGAATGACCACCATAAACACCAGAAAGACGTAACACTTGTGCACTATGATCAGATTCTGAGTTGATCTAGAAGGAAACAAAGAGAGACATGATAAGAACCAAACGCCTTACTACAGAATGAAGAGAGAGAGAGAGACAGCTACCTGGCCTAGAAAATGGTTTCACAGTGCATACCAGTGCCACCTCCATGGAGCACTGTGAGCTGTGCTGTGGCTGGGAGCAGCAGGAAAGAATAGCATGATCAACTAGTGATGTCTGCCTTGGGCATAAGAAAAGGAAGGGAAGGTACACACATACCATATACTTGACATCTCTGTTCAAGGGACATTACTAATAATACTCAGAATTCTTGCAGAGTTTCAATAAGCAACATGAGCCCTGTTCTTGGCCAGAGGAAAGACCAGTAAGGATTTCTGTTAAGATAAACCTCCTGGCTTACTGCCTGATAGGATGATAGAAACTTTTGGTGCAGGAAATAACTTTTGAGACCCACGCAGCCTTCAGGCCAAAGCAGGTCCACCTGCCCCAGCATACGGTAAATCCTTTCTAACTAATTAGCTCCTACCATAAAACTATTAGTGCTAATAAATAGGAAATAGCTCTTAATTGTTTAAGATGTGGGCACTGTGTAGGCTACATGGGTCTACAGTCAGATTGAGTGCAGGGGCTCCTCTGCTATGGCCATAGCAGCTCTTCTGACATTTTCTAAACAGGTCCTGCTCTCTCACTCTCATCCTCTGCCCTCTGCCTGGAATTCCTGGCACTGCCTATCTCTGCCCGCAGCTCCAGACCCTCAGCGTGTGGCTGGAGGCTGAGGGAGCAGCCCGAGGAGGGCTGGTTTTGACCCCACATGCCTGGTATGGTGGCCCTATCTCAGCATCCCTGAGCCCAGAGGCCCAGAGGCAAACCCGTCCCCTCTTTCCAAAGAAAAAAAAATATCCGTTAGTGTTTTGGGATGGTTTCAGGCCTCAAAGCCACCCCATATCTATTCCATTCCTGAGGCCAGACAGGAAGCCGGAGTACTAAGCTGGTGGGGTTTGGCGGGGCAGAGGAAGAAGCAGGTGCCAAGAGCAGGGCTAGGAGGGGAGGCCCCCAGCTCACCTGGTCCAGTGGGCTTCAAGGAAGGCGGAGAGGTAGACGATCAGAGGCATTATCACCGTAAAGGCCCAGAGCAACAGGGAGGGGAAGAACTGGGTCACGATGGGGCTCTGTAGGGGTGGAGTGGAGGAGGGCAGAGAGACGTCAATGCAAGAAGCTCCATCCTCCTTGCAGCCTTCCCTCGCCTTCTCCCACATCCCTGGCCTCTTCTCCAGCTCAGTCCCAGAGCAGGCCTGGTGTCCCCGAGGCTGCACAGTGCGCCTGGCCTTTCTGACCCGCCTTCCTGGTCAGGGGTCTGACAGGCTGGGGCGGCCGGAGGCTGACACCCCAAGGTCAAGTGACATCCCCAAGGAGTGCAGGCCTTCGACGCTGAGGTCACTGGAGGGGTGCCCTAGGCTGCCCCTAGTGACTTGGCCCTAAGGCCACAGCCAGCAGCTGTCACTCATGTCTCAGACCTCAGGGAGGAGACACTGCTTTTTTTTTTTTTTTTTTTTTTTTT